AACATCATCTTTCATCACTCTTGTGTTGTACAGGACGACGGATCTTCAAGCGCAGTTCAAGAAGAACTCACGTTGGATTTCTCTACTAAGAGGGAAAGCGGTGAAACAGAAGGAGATCTAACTCCCTTTTATTTCTTTCACACACACACACACAATCGTGGCACACACACGAAAGGGGAAGAAGACCACCTAGCTCTGACGAGTTTCATCCTTTTATAGCTTCGAGGAATGAGCCAGGGGTACCGTCTCTTGGCTACAGAAAGGAGGGGTGTCCTGTCCTTGGAAGTTGACAAGCATCCCTTCTGACCCTCGAGAGGATACCATGCTCTCTCGCCGGGAAGAGAACCCCGTCCTTGCATGGCAGCAAGCTGCTTCCAACGGGTCGTACTCCACAAGACGCACCCCTTCTGTTTACCTTGTAAGTCCCCCACGGGTACTCGGTTGCTGCAACAAAGACCTCCATAGGGGTCCTTTCAGCAGCTTCACACTGGAGTAGAGTATCCTGGGTCATCCAGGAGAAGTCAGCTTCGAGCACGAGTACGAGACAGCCAACTGTCCTTTTATTCTGATAGGCCTTTGTCTGACTCGGGCTCGGTTCCTATGAGCTCTGACAGCAAGAACTTGACATATGAGTTATAAGCGAAGCATGTCCTGCCGTGCTTGTCCTTCTCCCTCAGCACCTCCTTCCCGCATGTCTCTACAGCATACCGCAGCACCTCCACGTGCCCTCTGTAGCTCGCCCAGTGCGCGCATGTCTTGCCGTCTTCGTCCTTCTCCCTCAGCACCTCCTCCCCGCATGTCTCTACAGCATACCGCAGCACCTCCAACTGCCCTGCCTCACTCGCATAGTGTACGCATGTCCTGCCGTACTTGTCCTTCTCCCTCAGCACCTCCTCCCCGCATGTCTCTGCAACATACCGCAGCACCTCCAAGTGCCCTCTCATTCTCGCATAGTGCGCGCATGTCCTGCCGTCCTTGTCCTTCTCCCTCAGCACCTCCTCCCCGCATGTCTCTGCAGCATACCGCACTACCTCCAAGTGCCCTCCCTCACTCGCCCAGTGCGCGCATGACCAGCCGTTGTCGTCCTTCTCCCTCAGCACCTCCTCCCCGCATGTCTCTGCAACATACCGCAGCACCTCCCAGTGTCCTCCCTTACTCGCATAGTGCGCGCATGTCCTCCCGTGCTCGGCCTTCTCCCTCAGCACCTCCTCCCCGCATGTCTCTACAATGTACCGCACTACCTCCAACCGCCCTCTCTCACTCGCCTGATGCGCGCATGTCCAGCCGTGCTTGTCCTTCTCCCTCAGCACCTCCTCCCCGCATGTCCTCACGACGTTCTGCACTACCTCCATGTGCCCGCCTTGACTCGCCATGCGCGCGCATGTCATGCCGGCATTGTCCTTCTCCCCCAGCACCTCCTCCCCGCATGTCTCTACAACATACCGCACTACCTCCAACCGCCCTCCCTCACTCGCATAGTGCGCGCATGTCCTGCCATCCTTGTCCTTCTCCCTCATCAAGGTCCTCAGAGTCTCTTTCCCGCATTCTTCCTCTACCGTCTTCAGCACCTTCACTTGCCCATACTCCGCCGCCCAGTGCACCATCGTCTTTCCTGCCTTGTCCTTCGCTCCTACCTCTGCTCCTGCCTGTATCAGCTCCCTCACGCTCCCCGCCCTCCCCAGCATCCCCGCTACATGCTGCCCTGTCCTCCCGTCCTCCGTCCGCTCGTCCATGTCGTATCCGCCCGCCTTCAGCAGCCCGATCAGCTCCCCCTGTCCTCGTACCACCGCCGTCACTGTCGGCGGCTCCCCGTGCTGGCCCGACCTTGACATCGACAAGCCGTACATCCCGCACAGCCTCTTGCTCTGCTCTCGTCTGCCGTCATCGCCTGTTGCAGTCTGCGAGCTGATCTCGTACATCAGACCCGCCATCGTCTTCCAGTACACTGACTGCATCGGCTCGTCTGAAAGGGCTTGACATTTATTGTCTCCGTGAGTGTCTTCGATCCAGTGCCTGAGCTTGTTGATCGCCATGTCCTTGACTCGGTTCGACAGCTCGATCGCCTCCTTGTATCTTGACTCGTCGTTGTACCAGCCCGACTCCCTCGCCCTGCTCGCCTCCACCAGCCTCCAGCACTCCTCCACGATCGACCTCACCAGATTATTATGTGTCTTTTGAAAAGAATCGAATGTTGCTGTCCTGAGCCGCTCCTGGATCCTCCCCTCCCACCCCCTCACGTCTCGCTCTACCTCCCTCGCCAGGTTCTCCATCAGCCCTACGTACAGCTGCTTCCTCTTCCCCACAAAGTCCTCGATCGTCAAGCTCATCGTGTTCGCGTTGATCTTCAGCTCCAGCACCTTCACCCGCCTCCCCTCTACCTCCCTGTACCGCGGCGTCTTCACCACCTCCAGGTACGACAGCGGCGGATACAGCATCTCCCCCTCTCCCGGATACTGAGACACAAACGTCAAGCTCGCCCCCCGGTCGATCGCCCCGCAGCTGATCTCGAACACGATCGACTCTCCCTCCTCCCCGGCGTACTGCATCGCCTTCCTGACGTCTGTCGTCGTGCTCAGCAGCCCGTACTCGACTCCTCCGGACACCCCGAGCTTGTCCTCGTTGAGGAAGCTCTCCGGCAGCCTCATCCCCTTCAGCCCCCTCCACACAACCCGCAGCCCCTCCGGCAGAGGCGTGTGACGAGACAGCTTCACGACCCCGCTGACGATGCAGTGGATGGTCGTCGTGTACTTGTTGGGGAGCTTGCTGGAGTCTCGGAGGAGCTCTTTGGGAGCTCGAAGAACAGAGTTGTACTTGAAGTACATCGGCCCTGTCATAGCAAGCCTCTTGTCAGCCATCTCACGCTCTCTTGCTCCTCTCTCCTCCCCCATGCTACCTGTGTAGAGCTGCAGCGCGATCAGCTCCGCCTCCTGTAGCCCCGCCTTCATCGCCGTGTCCAGCCCCTTCAGCTCCTCCATCCCTCGGATCACCCGCTTCCCGACCGACAGGCTCTGCCTCCTCTGCGGGTCTGTGACGTTGAGCCACTCCTCCTTGGCTGTCGTCCTGATCCCGTAGTTGCTCGTCGTGAACGCTTCCTCCGCGTCCTTGCCCTTGCAGTGCTCCTCCTCTATCGCCTTCATCAGCTCCGTCTGAGGTAGCCCGATCCGCTCCATCAGCCCCCCGTAGTACTCCTCGATCTTCCCGTACACGGCCTCGCGTACCTCCCCGCTGCCTGTACCGTCCGACTCATTCACCGCAAACTTGCTGTTGTGCGACGTCGGACCGTCTCCTCCCGCCCGCCCTCCTGCCTCCGCCGGCCTCCTCAGCGCCTCCTCGAGCCTCCTCCCTATCGCCGTCTGCCATAGAGCCGATAGAGCGCTCTCCGTCATCCCCTGTAGCCCCGCAAGAGGACTCGCCGCGCTCCCGCCGGGGATGCACTCCGCCATGACTCGGAGGATGTTGAGGTCGCCGAGGCTGCTGGCCTTGCGCTCGAGCTCCCACTCTCTTGCGACTCTGACCTCGTAGTCATCGTACGAGAGCTTGTCAGGGCTGAGGGCCGACGCGTCGACGCCGAGAGCCATGCGGAGGTTGTTGAGAATCGTTTTGTAATCCTTTGAGTCTCGAGGGGTCTGAAAGAGCTTCTTGAGGTCAGAGCTGATGTCGTCGGGGATAGTCCAGCTGGTCGTCTGCTGGGCACTAGCTGGTGGATGAGCCGTGGGATTTCTGATTTGAGCGAGAGCGGAGGAGTGGGCGAGCAGCACTTCATTCTTGACTCTCAAGGTCAAGAGCTCACGCTCCAGCTCTAGAATCTCTGTCTGTACATCCTTCCCCATGCCGTACCAGTCTAGCAGGAGGGGACAAGGCGCAACAGATCTCAACGCCTGTCACAAGCGTCATGTCATCGAGAGTTGCTTAGAGGGGTGATACGATCTTGTTGTCTTACACATAAACCTAAGGCTTGTCATCTACACACAGCACAAGTTCTTCCCTCGTGGCATTCTTAATTATCTCTTCTCTTCACTTCCTTTTGTTGGAAGAGAAAGAGGGGAGAATGGCAGTATGAGAAAAGGAAAAGCGCAAAACGTTTCTAGCTTCCCTCTACTTGCAAACAAGAATGCCAAAAAACCTTCCATCAGCCGTTTCTTTTCCCTCCTCTCTTCTCCTTTCTTCTGTCTGTTGTCACGTCTCTTTCTCTCTGCAGCAGCTACAAGACATCTCTCACACTCTAGCGACATGACAAGCTTGTCCTCACCCTCCCTCAAGCTCCTTCCATCCTCTCTCCCTCTCTCCTCCCGCTCTTCAATCGCTTCCATTGTTATAAGCACATTCACGACCACCCCTTCCTGTGATATGACCCTACCCTACCCTATAGAATACCATGGTTTCCTGAATTTAATAGGGGTGGGCAGTACCAGCCTACCCTACCTCTCTACAGAGTTAACATCCTCACATCCCACCACTTGAGAATCAGCGGGTTTGAGGTACCCCACCCACCCTTCTAAAAAGTCTACATGGATACCCACCCTTCTTCTTGACCAAGAGGGGGTGGGGGTGTACCATCTCACGAGACCACCCCCTGTACTGAAAGCATACGTACACCCACCCTACCTCCAGTCTTTGAGAAGCATTTTAGGAAGGGAGGGCACACCACCCGTACTTTCCTCAGCCTACTACCCCACCCCTGATCAGAAGTCAACCTGTTTTTGGGAAATGAAGGATTGAGTACCCCGTCTGATCTCATCAGTACAACGGGTAGGGGTACCCGAGGGGATTACACGGGTACAGGTAGGGTACCCTACCGTCTCTACTCCACTGTTATTATGGATAAAGTACCGGTATCAGACTCTGACTTAGGTCGGACCGACGGTAGGGGTAGACAATCATCGCACTACGGTCAGTTACTTTTGTCCGTTAGACTGGTCTTTACTCAAAGTTTTTAGACATCATCCGCGAACTTTGAAATCCTGCCCTCTGATTTCAGGATATCCGCGAAACGCTCTTACTTAATTAGTTATTCAAGTGAGTCACCGTACTACGGTACTTTGAGTAAAGAGTCACAGTACCGGCTAGCCCGTATCGGGCCCGGCTCCGCCTGAACGGTGAAGTTTCCAGTACCGGCGCCCGGCCCGGCCCGGCTCCTGCCGCCCGGCCGCCCGGCCCGGCCCGGGCCCTCCGAATACCTCCCGGGGCCGGCCCGGGCCCGGGGTCCGCCTGAACAGTAGTCACCAGTTACCATAGTACGGTACGGTAACCAGTGCCGGGCCCATGCCGCTGTCTGTGTGCCGTGCCCGGCCGCCGGGAGTCACCGGCCCGGAGTCGAGCCCCGGGCGGCGGCCGGGCGGGCGACTGAGTCTCAAGGGGATTTGAAGGATCGCATGCCAGTGCCGGCCGTGCCAGTCAAACTATTAGCGCACTCCAACACTGTCACTCTCGTGTACCAACTTTACACCAAGAATACGATATTGCACATTCGAGTGAAAGAAGCTCTGTGAAGAGAATCGCCGTGACAGTGAATTGAACCAGAGACAGAGAACACACTCAACGACAACGGTAAGTCAGAGCCTGGTGAACACGTCGACGTACAAGATGGCCGTACAGTAGTGCTCCGATCAACACTGACAGTATGACTCGTAGATGAACCGCACGGTGCAAAACTTCCAGGACGCAATGGCGCGTTCAGCTCACGGTACGAGCCTCGGAGCAGATGATGAGGTGCAGATGCAGTCCGAGAAGGAACGAGGGGCTGTGTTCCCCGGAAACGCAAACAGTCAGATCAGATCACACAAGAGCAGTATGTTGTGATGATGCAAGTGCGATCATGAGTGAGAGAGACAGATCACCTGGTGTTCGATTTGCGGGAAGAAGAAGTCGCTGAGAGTAAAGCCCTCAAACCCAATGAGATGCGAATGAGATGGAAAGCGAAGATGTTGAGATCTGATTGAGAGGAAGCAGAGTGAGTCAGCGACAGTCTCCTGATGCTGGTCTCTTGAGAGGAAGCAGAGTGAGTCAGCGACAGTCTCCTCATGCTGGTCTCTTGAGAGGAAGCAGAAGGCGGCGCTGCTCGTGGCCGTGGCGCTGGGGTGTGTGAGGGGGGAGGAGTGAAACGAACTCTGATCGATCAAACATTCAAGATCCGGAGTTACACACTGTGTGAGCGAGTGCTCAGTGACCCGAGGACGCAGTAATGAGATCAGAGCCGGGAGCAGCTGAGATCCTCTGATCAGCACACGAATGACTCTTGGGGAACAAGACGATGCTCGGCACGAACCAACTTGTCTCTTCGTCTCGGGTCGACGCGCGGCGTCAGGTGACCGATGGCAGCGTCTCACGCGGGAGAGTGGAAGAAGGTGTTGCCAAGACAAACAAGAGTCCGAGCAAAGTGACTCTAGAGCAAGATGGAAGAAGGTGTTGCCAAGACAAACAAGAGTCCGATCAAAGTGACTCTAGAGCAAGATGGAAGAAGGTGTTGCCAAGACAAACAAGAGTCCGAGCAAAGTGACTCTAGAGCAAGATGGAAGAAGGTGTTGCCAAGACAAACAAGAGTCCGAGCAAAGTGACTCTAGAGCAAGATGGAAGAAGGTGTTGCCAAGACAAACAAGAGTCCGAGCAAAGTGACTCTAGAGCAAGATGGAAGAAGGTGTTGCCAAGACAAACAAGAGTCCGATCAAAGTGACTCTAGAGCAAGATGGCGTGATGGGTGCGAGGGAGAGATTCATGGGAGGAGAGAAAGGAAAGCAAGTGATCATTCAATTTATTGACTGAAAAAGAAGGACAAACCGGAGCAAACAAAGGAGGGGGAGGATAG